TTTTGCCCTCCTCCTCCTCCTCCTCCTCGATCCTCCTCCTCCTCCCTCTCTCACCTTCTACCACCTCTTCTCTCTTTCTTTCTCTCTCTCTCCTCACCTCTCCAACCCTCTCCCTCTCGCCCGCGTTGGCCCCTTGCACTAAGAGCCCCCCGCACACCACGCCACGCCGTCAGTGGTGCTGGTACCCCGCGCGCCTGCAGCCCTAGGGATACGCCGGCCCGCCCAACACGCGGGTGCTCGCATTGCCTACCTCCCAGGCGCCGTGTCGACTCCCAGCTCCCCTGCCTCGCGCCTCGCGTTCTTTACCTCCTTGGGGTGCTTTTTATTTTGTTTTTGTTTTCCTTCCTTCTTTCCCTACCGCGCACCGACCAACCACCACCGCCCCTTCGCGACCCTCGACGGTTCTCTCATCCATTTCACAGGGGAACGCCCCCCACCCCCTCCTCCAATCCAAACAGAACTAATCGAGCGGCGCACGCGACAGGCGGGGCCCCTGGCGGGGCGGAGCGGCCGCCAAAGAAAAGAAACAAATAGCCTTTCAAATCCTAGGATCCCCCGCCCCCTCTCCCTCCTCGACTCCGCGTCAAGTCGTTATCGTGTCGTTGTTCTTCTCTTCCAGTCGTCCTCTGCTTCCTCCTCCTCCTCTGTCATTCGCCATCTCCGTTTCGATAATTACTCTTCTTTTTTCATCCCGTTTTGTCGGCCCTTGGTGACGCCCCTTGCCGGGTGTTGGAGGGAATAGGGAAGGAGTAGGAAGGTAAAGGAGAAAAGTGAGGAAAGAGAAGAAAGATAAAGACGAAGACAATTTTATCACCAGGAGCACATTTCCAAAGATGTTTTGATTGCGTTATTTTTGCTGCTTCCATTCCCGACCGGAGAGGAGAGAATATACAGCCAGAGGAAGAAATATCGCTCGGCGCTGCGCTGCCTGACAAGGAAGGGGCGAGAGAGAGAGAGAGAGAGAGAGAGAGAGAGAGAGAGAGAGAGAGAGAGAGAGAAGGGGTTGCGCGCCAGCCAAAGCATGCTTAAGCACCCTTGCAATTAGTTCAAAGATAAATGAATCTCCTTCTTTCGTTATCCAACTAAGAAAAGTGCGCGCCTGGGCCGGCAGAATGCTGCGGGGGTGAGTGGTGCGGGGTGAGGAGGCGCGGGAGGGGGGGTTGGGAGGAAGGGAGGTGGCAAGGCAGGCTGAGCAGGGGTGGCCGTCCGTCCCTCCACTTTTCCAAC